AAAATGCTGTTGTTTCATTTCATCGTATCTCAGCAGTGTTTACCCTTTGGCTATTAATAAAGCAGCAAAAATAAAACAGAAATGTGGTTTCACTTATTGCCATCTGTATATGGGAATGATTTAAGATCACCTGCTCCAATTAATTTTTAAACAGCATTTTTTGACTGCTCTCCTAAAGTGAAATGGACATAAAAATAATAATTCCCACGGAGGTCTGTCTGTAGGCCTGTTTCTGGATTAATATGTAATGATAATTTATAATGATAAAATGGTGCTCTCCTTTCAGCCCCACATCCAATCACTATCCAAATCTTGCTGACTCATCCTCCGTAACATCTCCAAAATGTGTCCCTTCTTAACAAATGATACAGCAAAGCTTCTATTTCACTCCCTTGTAATATCACACCTTGACTACTATAACTCCCTCTTTGTTGGCCTACCACTAAACAGCCTAACCCCCCTTCAGTCCATCATGAATACTGCTGCCAGACTCATCCACCTTACCAACCAATCAGTGTCCGCCACCCCCCTCTGCCAATCGCCCCACCGACTCCCACTTCTCCAACATATAAAATTAGAAATACTAACAATAACCTACAAAGCCATCTACAACTCCGCCCCAACCTACATCACTGACCTCATCTCAAAATATCACCTAAACCGCCCCTTTGCTCTTCCCAAGACCTCCTGCTCTTTTGCGTCCTGCCTCCAGGATTTTTCAAGAGTGTATCCCATTCTCTGGAACTCCCTCCCCCAATATGTCCGCCAATCTCCTACTCTGTCCACCTTTAGGCGATGCTTGAAAACACATCTCTTCAGGGAGGCCTATTCCTCCTTGATATAACAGTACTTTCAGTTCTTCTATTAAATCATCCCAAACCGCTACTTTTTGGATCACTTGCCCCTCCTACTAGATTGTAAGCTCTCACAAGCAGGGCCCTCGTACATCCTGTCCTGAAATTGTATCGTCTCCCTCAGTTTTGTAAAGCGCTGCGCAAACTGTTGGTGCTATATAAATCCTGTACAATAATAATCATACATAATCCCTTGCTTTTATATTGTTTGTGGAGGCTGGGAGATGCTAGGGTAGCCGTGGACACCAACCTACATCACTGACCTCATCTCAAAATATCACCTAAACCGCCCCTTTGCTCTTCCCAAGACCTCCTGCTCTTTTGCGTCCTGCCTCCAGGATTTTTCAAGAGTGTATCCCATTCTCTGGAACTCCCTCCCCCAATATGTCCGCCAATCTCCTACTCTGTCCACCTTTAGGCGATGCTTGAAAACACATCTCTTCAGGGAGGCCTATTCCTCCTTGATATAACAGTACTTTCAGTTCTTCTATTAAATCATCCCAAACCGCTACTTTTTGGATCACTTGCCCCTCCTACTAGATTGTAAGCTCTCACAAGCAGGGCCCTCGTACATCCTGTCCTGAAATTGTATCGTCTCCCTCAGTTTTGTAAAGCGCTGCGCAAACTGTTGGTGCTATATAAATCCTGTACAATAATAATCATACATAATCCCTTGCTTTTATATTGTTTGTGGAGGCTGGGAGATGCTAGGGTAGCCGTGGACACCTCTCTCTAATAAAGCTCAAACATCATCACATGAGAGCAAAACTAAAACTTTCAATTCTCTGTTCCTAAGGCAAAGTATAGACAGGTTCTGGATGTGGATTTATATTCAGTACATTTATAAAGATCTGATCACACATATGCTCTGGTGGGGGGAGACCAAAAAGGGTGAACAAAGAATGCAACGCATAAGCATAGGCCCAACAGTGTTTTGCGTTCGTTTTTATAAACTATCTTGTGCTTTAGGGTAATAATCCTGTGAAGCAATCTGCAGCAGCATGACAATTCAATGCTAAACAGATAGTGGCTGCATCAGTGGGTTTTTACGGTGCTTATATGGTTTGTCTCCCTGTAAACAAGGGTATTATTCTGCTCAGTCTAGGAAGAAATAAACACTAAGTACTTTCCTATATATTTCTGAATTTTAGATCTAATGACATTGCCAACATAGTGGATTTATGATAGCCTGCTCATCTCTACACCATAGCTTAGAACTTTACAGGGTGTGGACGATGGAGTTATTTTGTCTTAAATATTTATATACAGTAGAACAAATTCTGCTCCGTTGTACAGATTAGAGACCCGCCCACAAAGTAACCTCCAAAGTCATTTTAATGTGAATTTGCTTGATGGCGGATGGGGAGGGGGCAGTTCATCAGACAGCTCCTGCTCCCCTCCCTCCCTTCTACATTCAGATTACACTGAGAGCCCAGCAAAGCTGAACATTAAGATTTGAATTCCGCTTGATTTTCCTTTTGGGATTGTGTGTGCGCGGTCTTTAAATTGTCTGTGTCTAATAATGAACTCTGCCACTGCTGCACTGGGCAGCAAGATGTTACATTACCTGTCTCGGGGACAAGTTGCCTTTTAATTAATAGTACAGGCATTTGTATACAGTATGTATATCTAGGATTGCTTCTATGAAATGTCTTTCCTTAAATGAGAATTATGGGGTGAGTGAAAAGCACATAATTCAAGGCGACCTGTGACATAGAAGCAGTCACAGGTCAGCTCTATTGATCAGGAAGTCAGTGAAAACACAGTGCCGTCGCTGAGTTCTTGTCAGTCACCGCTCCCCGCAGGGATTTCTGGCCCCCTCCTCTTTCTGATCCTCCAGTGCTGATTGGAGGAATGGATGAGGGATGGAGCGGGAACAGCTGGCTCTGCCTATAGATGGGCAGAGCCAGCTGGGTGGATCTCGACAATATTGTCGGGATCTGTCCTGGCTGCGGCACGGCTCTGCGCTCCCAGCATATAGCGAGTGTTGGGTCACCAGAGGACACAGCATATGTCCTCCCATGACCCTGAAGAGCACTATGGGCAAAAAAGATTGCCCCATAGTTCTCCTTTAAAGAGACTTTGTTACTTTGTCACTTTGCCCTAAAGGAGCAGTCTCTTTAAACGCCACCACTGAACCTTCTATACTCGCGTTCTCAGCACTTTAATAGAGGGTATAAAAGGAGGCGGCCTGGGATGGAGTGAAGACATCAATGAGCTGGTTTACAATAAATTGTTATGGGTAACAACTAATTTTCACTAGATTTCATATAGGAACCCTTCATGAACTAATAAGCAGCAAGGAGGTGATGCTGAGGGTTACTCTTTTTTTTTAGCTTGGGAGTGAGCATCATATCTTTGGCACAACAGGTGACCAGTTACTCTTTCTAAGGAAAAAGCACATTACAAATATTGATAGATAAAACCATGAGTTACAAATGTTTTTGTTTTGCAACATAAATGCCTTTTCTGCAGCCAGTCTCATCAGTTTTCCTGAGCGGGAAGTGATCCCTGACATTGTAATCTCTGCTTTCCAAAAAGGAAGTAGTTTATTACATTTAGATGGGATCTTGTTCCTGAATCACCAGTGTTTTCGTCCACAAAAAATGTATTATATGACAAAGCTAATACTGCCATTCACAACCATTCCTGTAAAGCTTCTCATCTATCCAGGTCATAGTATGGTTAGTAGTAGTTAGTTTCATGTGATGAACCACTACTAGCGATTCATGTGAAGGACTAGTGCTGGATGTTTGACATTTTATTTAACTGTGTACCAGAGGCCACCGAGCTATGAGGCTGTGATATTATTATTATGCAGAATTTATATAGAACCCACAGTTTGCACGATGCCTTACACAATAAAGGGCAACAGCACAGTTGTATTACAAATGAAATGCAAGAACATTAGAAGTGCCCTGCTCCTGAGAGCTTTCAATCTAAAAGGAGGGACAAGTGATACCAAAGGGCATTCTGCTGACAGAGGGATTCTTGGCATCTCTTAAAGGGTTTCTTAACCCTCAGCTTTTTTTGCATATATATGAGGCTAGCAAGCAGTAGATATATGCAAAAAGTAAAAAAAACAGGTTTAACAGGGGTTTAAACTTACCTGTATCTTCCCCACGCACTCCCTTCCTATAATGTGAAACTGCTCGGGCGGCCACAAAGGATCTTGGGGCGGGTACATGCGCAGTTCACATTTTCGGCCAGGACGCGAGGAGAGACACAAGGTAAGTATATGAACGCGTGCACCCTCATGCAGACACCGTGGGAGATGAAGTGCCAGCAATCACAGAGGACTCAGCGCTGGATCGGACACTCACCGCAGCGATGGAGAGAAGGCTGAAAACTTCAGGAAAGAAGATGATCGGATTAAGAGACATAATTTAAGTGCTTTCATTAACGCTGTGTTGAGGCAAAAACATTTTTGCCTTTAATGTCACTTTAACTATTATTTCTGGTGATTATGACATCACTGAGCCCTACCATTAAAACACCTGAGCCAAAGAAGGGGGAGATTTTTGAGCCCCAGAAATGTGTTGGCTGCTTTGTATTATCCTGTTATAAACTAATACTATTATTAAAAGAATCTGGACTTTGGGGCATTTTGTTTGGCACTCATTAGACTTTGTACATGTAGAAGAGTCCTTAAATTGTGAGACATTTCTAGGAGCAAACATGTATCTTCATTACAGTATTAGCTTATGGCAATGTATTATCACCTGGATGTTTTTGGCTATGTTGACCCCTTTGCATCAGTAAAGAAACATATATAACCATACAAATATGTATTATTGTAGTTCTTTCCCTAAAAATGAGCATAGAAATACTTCATACTTATTTGGAGAATGAAGAGCTTTGTAGTTTAGTCAGTATGAAGCTGTCCACGTTGGTCCGTTTGTATCAATATTTTGGCAAAAAAAAACAAATGCAAAAACAATATTTTATTTCTTCTGCAGCATCACAACACCATACAAGCTATAACAAACCAGCTTCATGATTCCATATCAAACAAGGAAAGGGGTATTCAGTCCTGTTAAGGTTACTAGCTGTTCTATCAATAAAAACATCACTTTTAGAGGATGCCAAAAACGGATCCACTCTAACCAATAAATGGCTTTAGACTGAGAGCGTATCTGCATAATGCTTACTCATAAAAACTGTTCTCCTCACATCACTGCTGTGTACATCATCAGCTAGGGTCAGTTTTGTAAAAAAGGGGCTAAAGTTTCTACAATCCGTACAGCCGATTCTGTACATCCATCAAAGTTTGAATGTGTAAATCCATCTCCACCACACAGGAGGAAGGGCTTGTTGTGCAGAGTTATCTGACCTGGACAATCCGGAAAGGCCTCTGTAACCTGAAACACAAATCATGCTGGTTAGTCAGCTGAGGAATTCTACTATGCCCACCATCCTGTGTGTTTTGTGCCTTAGAATTTAAAAGGAACAACATTATGCAAATGAAGAAAATATTATAAACTACAATCTATACGTGACATAAGTCACCCATACATATCTCCATGTCCATTTTATTAAATGTCTCTGTGTACCAGTATTTATAATATAGATTAAAAGTAAACCCCACCTTAAAAAATAAATGCATACTTCATTAAAAGAAAAACATTTGCATTTATTATTATTATTTTGCATTGGAGCCAGTAAAGCATTGCGACCCTGATTAATGGATCACAGGTGCAATGCTCGGTCTCCTGCAGATTATCCCTCCCTTCCCTGTCCATACCTCAGTACGGACACTCGGTAACATGGAGGGGAGGAAGAATGAATGGACTACAAGTGTAGTGATGTCACTGCACTTGCATTCCATTGAGAACTAGGAGTCCTTCTACCCACAGGCTGGTGTCTTTTAGTTTCTCCATTCAGAGATCTTGTCAAAGGATCTGTGACTAGATGACATGACTGTGTGGAAGGAGCCATGATCAGCTGTGCCATCTTCAAAAATCAGCACCAGCCTGTGTGTAGAAGAACCCCGCATTTCAGGTAAGTGGGGGGTTTCGATGCGACTAGATTGACCGTAAATATGGGTGTAACATGAAATGTGATCGGAAAGGTAAAATCAGCCTTTAACGGCCTATTCAAACAGGCATCCAACACACTTCGAGCTGTCAAAATGTAAAAACTTTGCCAGAGCCTACATTGCCTACAGGGGAGGTAGGAGGCACAGGCCAGCAGAGAGGTGAGTATAAAGCTGGGAAGACACGGAGGGAATTTCTGCTGATTCAGCAGGATTCAATCCATTGCTGGCCTTATCCCCTCGATAAACGTTTATCATCAGATTGAGTTTTGCCAAAAGGAACATGTTGGACAATCGTCAGCCGCTGTCAGGATACAACGTACACCACGGGAGATTCATTCTTCTGCGCTGTTTAGTGTAGATGGAGGAATCGGTAATATCTTTTATTGTTCAGCCTTTCTTTAAGAATTCTTTTTCCCTGACAGGCTCACTTTAACAAACCGTAACACAGTTGTCATCTTCAAAAGAGAAGAAATACTTTTGTATTTTAGGAAGTGAAGCTGAGCTGCAGAACTAGTTTTCAGAGTTCTAGAAATCATTTATATTAAAACGCAGGTCCACCTACATTGATTTAGGTTTAATTGACAGGTGTTTACAGTGCTTGTAAGTGGAGCCACATGCTGAATTTATTAAATTTATGTTTTCTCTTCTGTTGGGTTCAAAATGTGTTTATACGTTCCTTCCTTTGTGTTTAACCCCTTCATGACTGAGCTTGTTTTTACTTTCTGTTCGTTATTGACTGACTCACTTTTTACATTTTTGATGTGCGATTCTTCCACATCGCTAATATACTTTCTTACAAAGTGCACCCACATATATTATATATTGTTTTTTTAGAGGACAGATAGGGCTATATATTTATATCACATATGTGTACTTAATGCCTTACTTAGGATGAGTAAAAAAACAATGAGAATTTTTTTTAAAGAAAACACTTTTTTTTTTCCAGTTTTGATTATTATTATTTTAGAAAAAGTGCACAGCTAAAAAAATGCATTTAAATAAATTAATTTATTTGTCCTTTATTTGGAAATACCTCACATCCCTAGGATTTCAGTAAATGTTCTGTACTTTTCAGCCTAAAACTAAAAGCTAACCATTATTTCCTCTAATACCTAATAGTGGTCACCTGGCATACAATATCAGTGTCACACTGTCACACTTCTGTCTTTCAGGTGCATCGACATTTTAAAAATGATAAAAGGCTGAATATTTCTACAGATAAAGTGATGTTATTACTGAATATACATGAAAGCATTTTAGATTCATATCAGTTTCCTTCCCTGTAAATAAATGCAGCAATAATGTAAACGGCCGAACGAGCCTCCTGGAGCTAATTTAGTATATTGTAGCCTGATTTCCAGAACTATGCAGTAAGATAAATAACTGGATGAGCCAGTGATGTAAATGGCAGGGATTGTTTGTGTGTTTGTATAAATAGAGCTTGTCTGTGCACAAAAGAGATAAGACTACAGATCAGTATCAGACACTGTATTAAAAGCACTCTTCATAGACGTAGGGGGGATAGTGCTTGGAAATCATTTTTAAACTCCTGTCTCCTCATTAATGCATTTATAAACTAGCTCTTAAAATAGCCCATAGACAATTAGCTTTAACAGAAAACCCAGTTAAACTGATATTCATATATCCTAGAAGTTATCTGGTCATATCTGAAGTACAAATCTAGCTAAAACTGCTTTTTTTTTTATATAGAGAGGAGAAGGTTTAGAACCTCTGTCTGGTTTTTACTTCTGCCTGTCGGCCCATCTAAGAAATTTCCTTCCACTTCCTGTCCCAGAGACATGGCAGTGAGGAGAAATCCCAACTTTGACAACTGTCACTAATTGAAGATTTCCTCTCTACTCCTGCTTTAAAGACAATTATAACATTCCGGGTTTCCCCCTTTATGTCCCCGTGATCAATATGACAAAGGGTGAAGGTAGGTAAATACCTCCAGTAAACGGGCAGGCAGCAATAAAAGCCTGTCAGAGTTTACCCACGAACTTAAAGAATATGAAAAAAGTTTTGGCTGAAGCTCTACATTAAAAGGTACAGAAAACGTGAACACCTGATGTTCCTTCTGTGAAACATAATAGGAATAGGACACCTTTGTATATCTCCCTATATAACAGAGGGTTACACAAGGGTGCGACATTCCTATGGCCTGATGCCCGAGACATGATGTTCCGTGCATTGGGCAGGTGTTTCTTTTTCTCTACATTTAGCTCTGCTTGCCCGCAGAAATGTAGAGCAAGAGAGCGGCTGTACTACTTGTAGCAACCTGCGTGTCCACCACTTCCCCATGGTTTTCAGGGTCCCCCGCTGTTCTGGGGGACCCGGAATCTTGGCAAATGACTTCAGGAGGGAACAGACCAAAGAACATCCATTCTCCGATCTGCTCTGTCTTATCAGTGAAACTTGAGCTTGATCTTCTGCATTGGAGGGCAGGGGACACACAGTCTCCATAAAGAGAACCTGTCACCTCCAAACACTATTACATAAAGGCTTGTTAGCCCCTATGTGATAGCAATAAAAGTTAAGTGAAAAAAAATAAAAGTAAAAAAAAAAATTAAGTAATTCCACTCTATACATTACTGTAGTAGCACAATGTGTATTAAAGGTAATTTGGGAAAATGGAATTACCTGCTCAAATCTGGCCCACTACTACTTCCCTTTCAAACAGTCCTCCTCCTCCACCGGTAGGGATGTACTATCATTACCCTGTACTTATGTCCAGCGAAGCCTTGTGGTATGGATTTTGAACTTCACACGCAAATTGTGAGCACTCATTGGTCAGTGCGGTCACAATGAGAAGCACTGCTTGGCACGGTAAATACTTTGTATCACGACAACTAGATTGTCATGAGAGACAAGTAGATTGGGCCCCGGCTTTAGTCCTTAGACAAGCAGTGGTTTTTTTTTTAAACATTTCCACACCCCTGGTTATATTTGCATAAAAGACAAGAGGGCTCATTTATAAAATGGCGCTATGGCCACAGCACTATTTAAAAGAAAAAAAACCCCATAAAGCATAGATATGTGCTTTTAGAAAATACTTTCTAGAAATGCTGAATGAACATCAAAAAATACATTTTTCTTTTGGATGAAGAATTACTGGTGAGCAGCCGGCGACAGTCTTTTGCTTGGAATGAATGTGGCTCCATCCACACATCACTACAGCACCCAGGATAATAGGATATATCGGTTAGGTGTGCGGATGGCACTTCAACCTGTCAAGCATGTGACTAGCCTCTCTTCCAATCACAAAGTCTTCTCTGCAGCTTTATGCAGATAACACTCTCCACACCGCAGCCACTGGAGGGCAGATGGTGAAAACTGTTTTCAGTTATGAATGTGCTCATGAAGCTAGTCATTTAGGCCTTCACACCGAAAGCGTGCATAGCTGCTGGAATGCACCGCGATCGCTGAGAAACTTCCCCCCGCGTTTTGGGGGTGTGGCGGTGCATTGTATTCAATGGCACCGCTTCCACGAGCCCCCCCCCCTATTTTTTGCGTTTGCAGTGGAAAGGAACGCTGGCAAAGTTTTGCCACGCGGTCGATCGCACTGCAGGCAGGGGGGCGTGGAAGCGTTGCCATTGAATACAATGCACTGCCACGCCCACTCCCAAAACGCGGGGGGAAGTTTCTCAGCGATCGCGGTGCGTTCCAGCAGCTACCGCTCTGGAACGCACACGCTTTCGGTGCAAACAAGCCCCTAGAGTTCATCAGCAATTTGCCCATTGTAACAAGGAATCAGATGTAAGAAGGTAATGGATCTCACCAGAAAAAAAACAACAACTGTATTTGATGCCAACCACCAAAATGTACCCTAAACCCATGTTAAGGAACAAATGCACCTCCTGAAAAGCCATGATTAGATCTGCAACAACTGATAAAGTGCCAGGATTCTGCCTTTTGTAATGTGTAAGAGAATCTTGCAGTTCTTTTCATAAAACAGTAACTTCTTACCAGTAGAGGTTACCTCTAGCATGGGCACATGATATTGAAGTAAAAGCTCACAGATTCTAAAACTGGGGTTTGGAACTCTAGGATCCTGGGGGGCAGGGGGTCTGCCAGGGGTTCTGCTGCTTTTGTAGAGGATTAATATCTGCCCAACAGTGGCTCCACTTTTCTCCCTGCAGTTAACACTAGGCGGTTTATTGTCAGGGAGTAGGACACTTGGCATGTGGTTTCTAGAGGGCCTAAATATTAGGCATTGGCTTACAGTTCTGGCTCTCTGGTGATGTCACGCCAAGCATCCCTGTCGCTCCCTGACAACAAGCCACTGCCCGGAGTCCCTGCGCATGTGCACTGTGCTCCCAACCCAGGCAGCCTGTGCAATCCCTGGCACGTACGCAGTGGGAGCCCCTCTCCAGTCTAGATCCATATGTCTTTTCAGCAAAAGATAGCCCAGAACAAGGAGAGTTGGTCCATTCAGGGTGTAAATCCACAGCCCCAGCCAATCTTATCTGATGGACCACCTGCAAGTGTGTGTCTGGCCCTGAACACCAATGCAATGTTAGTTTTTCCATTACACCAATGCACAAGTAAAGTTTTTCCTGAACACCATTGCTAAGTTGGAGTTTTGCACCGAGCACCAATGAAAAGTTATTGTTGCCACTGAGCAAAGTTTGTGCTTTTTGTGTCATTCAGATATTTAGTATGCAATTCTGTTTAAATGAATGTTTGTTAAATCTACTGATCACACTAATGTACTGCAAGAATAGATGAGAAAATTATTTCAGGGGTTCCCCAAGATCTTAAAACGTTTTCAAGGGTTCCTTGAGGATCAAGAGATTGAGAAAGGCTGTTCTAGTAGTACGGACACCAATCGTTCTCAGTCCACTACAAAGACCATAGACATCAAGAATATTCAACTAAGAAAAACATAATGTTGTATGACAATCTCAGTGATTTATGTTGTAAATCTCCTACAACATATCCCATGTTGTAGCAGAGACAATAGCTGAGCATGAGTATCCTACTATACCTGAAATAAGCTGATCCCAGAAGGGAGCCATGTACATCTATGTTCCCAAAAGAAACAAAATCCTAATTATTTTTGTTTGTTTAAAGCAGTAGTATGATCTACCTTTAACTCTAGAGTAGTGGATAACCTGAAGGAAATCTACAGTATTTGTGCCGATATTATGAAACTTTTTCACGCAGAATAAATCTAATTTACGAAAAGCTGTAGTCACAAGATAATACTACAGGTACTGACTACAGGTACTTGCCACGTTAGAGAGCCACTGACTCCTCAGGAGCTTAAACTCTGAGTTTAGCCTTACATTTTTTTTTAATATACATACATATAAAAAACAAAAAACAGATTTTCTCCAGGAAATCTTCCCAATGGACGATAAAATTGTCTGCTGCACACCTTATAGCCTGAAGCTGCTCGTAGATCCAGGGTGCTAAAATGATCCAATTGATGGCATTATCAGGCTAACACCAGCAAATCTCAGTAATCTCTTTCCTGCAAAATGGGGGTGTGCTGGTGAATAATATCTCTCCAATGAAGACAGACAGCAACAGAAATATTGTAAACATGATCTTCCTACTCCAAAACAAATAAAACACATCTTCCCCCTTTTTTTTTTAAAGACTTGCACTATGGGCTGCACTTTATTTTACAACACAACTTGAATGTGTTGAGACAATACTGCTGGTCTTATGTCAGTGCAAGCCTATTAACAGAGCTCTGGTAAAATTGAGACTAAGCATAAATGATGCCATCCCTTCAACTAGACTACATTTTAGTATTTGGTGTTCAGTAAGAAAAATGAAAGTTTTCTGCATGTAGAAAGTGCATAATAAATCCTCTTTGCTTGTCATTTTAGTTCAGGCGAGTGTTTTGAAGCGGGGATGGTGATGAAGCATGCCTTCCACACTTGGCCCTGAAACATGCTTATGTTAAAATGTGTTAAATAGTTTTACCATGGGGATCTGATTGGCCAAAACCTTCCGTAAACTTATACTTGGGTCTCTTTATCAATTAACTGACAGAGCATGTACAAAATGACTTGGGAAAGACCATTTATTTTTAGTTTACTTTCATTTGGTTCTCAAAACATGTCCATATCGATCTAAATGCAATTTACTTTAACACTACAAATGAACATATTAAAAAGGTACCACCATCCTATTAGAAAAAGGGGTTGTGGCCTCACTGAGCCTCAGACAATCTTCCTGGAAGTGCTCACATCACCCGGCCACACTGCAGTCTACTCCCTGCCTCTGACTGTGCTGCTTACTGTGGAAGTTTTTTTTTCTCCTTTTCTTGATAGGGAATACATTGATGCTCATTTGCAGAGATTCTATATGTAAAACACACTTGACTCTTAGAAATGCTTATCACCCTCTAGTTAACCCCTGAAATGCCAAATGATCCCGTTATTCATAAGCAATTCATGATATAACATGCTATTAATGGGCCTTTGCTGAATTTCTGTTATCTTGTACAGATTATTAATTTTACGATGTTTAACATTTACCTGGCTGTGCTTTGTAATAAGATTGGATTATATCCTATATGATTACATTAAATATACCTATTTTAATCTATGTATGCTAAAACAAAGCAAATGAGCCATGAAAATATCTCCACCAATATAAAGGCTTTGTATGTACAGATGCAGACACTGTCTGAGACTGTGAAAAAGTCACTGCTATACATAAATGAATCATTTTATGACTTGAATGGGCAGACAAGATATATTCATCCTCAAACCATACAATCAAAAAACTAGTGAACCAATTTGAAATATGTTGTGACATGGGCAAGCTGAGCAAATCTGACAATAACCTGTGAACTACAATTCAGCAGATTCTTTGAGCGTGTATATTATGACTTGTCTGATCACTGGCAATTCTCGGGATTTATAAACTGAACATACATATTCCCCTTTCTTGTAGTGCTGAGGGGTGCCGATGCATCCAGAAACAAATCCCAGACCACCCTATATAAATGCCAAATGTACACTAACATGTGTCAATGTTGATGTGTGTACATACCTGTAGACAGGACAATACATTAATGTGTTACATTCTATAAAGAGGTGAAAGCAGTTCTCATGATAAATTATACATCTTTTGTTCTATGCCTTTGCGTGGAGCTCTTCAGTGTCAGATTACTAGAATAAGCACTCAATAATACATTTCCATACTCCTGGTAGACATGAAAATCGTAGACACAACAAGAGTTCTTCCTTCTCACAGTAATTTACAGCACAATATACCAGAGAAGGATACAGCTAGCTCTGCAAAGGTGGATGAAGTCAGCCACCCCCACACAACATGCCGTGTCCAGGGGACAGCTAATGTTAATATTTACTGCTTTTCATGTAATCTCTGGTGGCTAACTAAAGTTGCTAAGTCAGCATCAAAATAATGGATTTCTCGCAGAGAGCTCTTTACTTTTTTTTCCATCTGAAAGAAAGAAAAAAACATTTTGGCATTGAACATAAATGAGTGGGCTGTTATTGGAAAGGAACGACTTCTTTAAATATTTATTGTAATGTTGTGTACGTCTTTTGGCGACAAGTAAGCTGCTGATTTTTTCTATGTTTACTTCACTTACAGCTAATCTGTTGCGTAGCTGAAAGAGCTAATAAAAGAGGTGCATGCAAAGAAGTAAATACCTCTCCTGCCTCCAGTGTTGCTGAACAACACTCAGTTGAAGAGAAATCACAGACTGAAGCTTCTTCAGAAAGCAATACTTTTGGGGCTGTCAATCTCCTGATCCCCTGAAGCACGCAGTGGTTCCCTCCACCAACCCCTATGTCATTACTGTGTCCTGTAGAGGTTGGCACAGGGAACTACTGAGAGCTGCTGGGGACCAGAAGAAGATCAGCACTCCCGAAAGTGGAGGAAGCTTTAGCAGTTGATTTGTCTTCATCAGAAGGGTGTCCGGCACAAGAGGCATGACACATTTACTTCTTTACAGGGACACAAGACCAATCTGAATGTGGATAGACTTACTTGTGAGTATCTCCATTTCTGACACTTGACGTCCTTTGGTTTAGGAAGATTCGGTAGTATTGTACCAAGGTGTTTCAAGATCACGTGTTGAACATCATCTTTTTCTTGTTCTAAGTGCTTTATGCCAAATGGTACACTAGTGTGAACTACAAGTGATGGTCCAATATCTGAAGACTCTGTAAAAGAGAAAAAATAGAAATGGATTAATTTTTTCTTATTTAACCAAAAGGTTCTAAGCAATTTTATACAATTGAAAGCCCACTACAACACAAAAACATACCTGTACTGATAGAATTCAGTATATAAAATACCTATGTTTATTTTATTTGTATTTTTCTCCACCTTTACAGGCAGACCAAGCTGTCCATCAAAAGTAGTAACTAAAGGGGTTGGGACGTGATTACAACAGGTCAGCTTTTATTCAAATGGTTTAGACCTTTAAAAAAAAAAATGTTGCTACTGCAACAGTCAAACAAGTGTTAGGCTTTTACAGGTTTTTGTTTGTTGCTTACTTACAAGAGAAGTAATGACAAACCTTTTTTTGGTTTTACTGCTCTTTTGGGTCACAGGAATACATTTACTAATAAACTCCTGTGAACAAAAGTCAGTGGCTAATGTCTCTGCCACAGCTGGGAAGGGTCCTGACAATATTGTCTGTATCCACCCTCGCTGCCTATGTGACAGCTGGCTCTACCTCTCTAGAGCCAGAGCAAGCCGCGCCAGCTCCCTAGCCAGTCTGTCTCTAAAATAAACACTGGAGGAACACAGAGGGGAGGAGGGAATCTATGGTGATCACTAATAGTCACAGCTCTCTGCAGGGAGATGACATCAAGAGCTGACCATTCAGTGGTTACATGTACGCTCAGCTCTTGGTCTTAGAACTGATGTCTGACAGCTGCAGTGTCCCACATTGGCTCTATGCAGCGGGAAGAGTATATTTTACTTTACCCACACTTCTCTAAGCTCTATTTAAAAAATACATCCAAGACTACACTGCCCATAGGGTGATAACACTGCTGTGTGATTTCACAGCAGAACACCATCAGCTGATAATAAAACTATGTTGACTAACTATGACAGCCTGCATCATCTATATTTTTTCATTTTGCCTGTAGTTCTACTATAACCCCTTACACAATTACATAGGCACATCAAAGGTTTAATATGGTAGCATGTTTCATGTGTACTGAATGATTAATATGAAGGATTTCAGATTAAAGAGGTGAGATTTTTGCTTGTCAGTCATCTTATGTTGTATCTTTGTCATGTACATTGGAGGGACAGATTATAGAAACGATTTCCAATACAAATATTCTATAAATCTGGCACAAAAGGAATTGCTGTTAGACACTTTTTGGGTGCTAGACAAACCCTCCCTGCTGGCTGCCCAAGTACCAAGTCTGTGCAGAGTTGGTAGACGCATCGTCTTTTTGAAAACGTTTTTAGATGCAAAGGTTGGATCTAAAAACTATGATCTGTTTTTATTTGTACTGAGGAAAATGACAACTGGAGAATTAAAGTCCAAATCTAATCGGTTGGCATTACAGACCGTTCTAGTTACAGACTAAATCCCTGCCAAACTTTCGTGTAAATGTGAGATTTGTTTTTTTGAATAGGAGAAAGTTGATGGTGTTTTTAAAACCATTGTTCCTAACAAACCCCAAACAACTAAGGAAACTGCAACCACTCTGGTGAGCACGATCCTATGTATATGGGAAGCCTCTGTGTTGGTAAAACACATTATGGTTAGACAGATTTACATTAAAACCTTATATCTATGCATCTGCACAGCATTGTGAATGTTCAAACTAATGTTTGCTTCACCATTTCTTTCTTAAAAGGATTAGCAAAAGTTTTGCAACCCAGAAGGGCGGGGTTGGGGGATAATAATTTGTACTATATAAACTTCACAGTATTTTTATCGCATCATGTATGATCAGAAATGACGTGATTTAAAATGAATCAATAACAGGAATTCCCTCCAGAAAAGTAAAAAAACTATTCTTTTTGTTTGTGTATTTTGCTTCACGATGATGTCAGTAGATGTATTGTACAGATTAGGAAAAAAGAGCCGAAAATAGCAACTTTTAAATTTTTAACACTAGGCATGTTTGCATTAGAATGTCTTTAATGTTAAAATATTTCGGGTTGCTATTTTGACAGTTTATTTTGTTTGGTATACTTTCAATGTCATTTGATAATTAGGAAAATAAAGAAACAAATTGGAAAGGCTCGGTTTATTTTACATTTCTTTGTTCTAACTTTTTAACCTTTAGAAATGCATTAACTGAAACTCAGCTTTGAAGCAGGTGCATTACAAATGTCCTCACTTGACCTGCTCACATTCATTTGACCATCTCTGTTTACCTTCATGCCCATTTAATGTATGAATGGGTTTAAAGGTAAACAAAAACTATTAAACATAATGGAGTGAAAATCCGGCACACAAAAAGAGATCAGATAAAATCTCGTAGACTTTATTGCACAGTAGCAAAATAAAAAAGCAACAACAATAGAAACTATTGACGCGTTTCAGTCCACATACTGGGGTCTCATTCCTAGTACAAGGCCCAGTATTGATTGCTGGCTGTTTTTTATTCTGCCATTCTGAAATAAAGTCTACGAGATTTTATCAGATCTCTTTCATGGCCTGGCGTTTCACTACAGTTTGGATGATGAGGGTTGACGGGAACCCTGACTGAGCACCAAGGTCTCTGTCTTGTGTATTTGGACATGTGGGTGTAGAGCTGGGATGTGTGTGATGATTCATATAATTGAGTGCTATGAGGAATGGGAGTGCAGTTTGAGAGCGGAGGTGTGCAGGAGAAAGTGTTGTGCAGGGTCACAGGAAAGGGGGCAGGGTAAGATGAGGGGGTTGCTAATGGGCGTATAGTGTGACATGAAGGGGAGCAGTATGACAGGTGCTGGAGACACTCTGCAAAGGGGAACAAAGCACATAATGTTCATTATAAACCACCGGTGAATTTTAAGATCCTCAGAGGGCTCGAAGTAGAACTGTTAATCTGTGCATTGACAAATTAAGGTGAAACATTGAGAAGTAGGCAGGGACCTTGTTGCCAGCCTTCTAATAACTCCAGCTGGCAGCCTTGTAATACCACCTCCTGCACCCAGCATCAAAGATGCAAGTTGCCCAAGCTTTCGCAAATGTTGACAAACATCCCCCCACTCTGGAAAAGGGGGGTGCACCTTCATGCTGAGGAAGGCTAGGCTGAGGATTTGGCAGACTGAGTACCAAACCTTGTGGGTGGACTGGTAAGCAGGTTTGCAGAGTCCCGATGAGGAAGTGGAGAAACAGACGTTTGTTGACAGTGAGAATGGAGAAAGACTAAGGAGCTCTTGCCGCCAGTAGCATCCTAGATAAATAGTATCCATAATTGAGCCAAAGAGATGCTAGCCCTTAAAAGCTATGCAGAACAAGCATTTCTTATATAAGAATTCTGTAGTACAGCACCTTAACTGACAGGAGAACCATGCGATGGCAAAAAAACAAAAAGTATTCAATAGACTGGCACTGCTGAAATTAACAGCCATATGTCATCAGCTTTGAGGGAAAGTGAGGGCCTAGGAGCCTCATCTATTAGCGGATCCACGGAGGGATCCTGTCAAAACCAGAGAAATCCAGCTTGTCTTATGGTTTCAGCAGACGTTAGTGACGCCTGGGTCAGGGGTGAACCCCGGACCCCAATGGATAGCTAAATCTGACCATATGGAACCTCCCTAACAAAGCTAAGGTTTAAGACCCAAAAACAAATCCCCCTTCTGCCCATAAGGTTTAAGACCCAAAAACAAATCCCCCTTCTGCCCAGATGTACTACAAAGGCAATGAAGAGGCCTGTAAAAGGGCTGTTAAGTACTGCACTTTCTAAAAAAAACTTAGTGGCTACAGATAATACTGGAAATTGGTCCACTGATTACTAATAAGCAACAGGGGGAACCATTGTGCTGAGAAAGCCAGGGCAACATCTGCTTCAGGGTAGGTGATGCTGCCTAGGAACAACTTTGCATAAGAATCCACAGCAGGTTTTGTAATCAGCCAGATAAAGCTTAAAAATAGACTCCACCAGCACAATCTGGCTGTGGTCTGTATTAGCATGGAGCGTGTACTGTCTAAAACACAGTGAAGCTGTTCTGTATGGCGATGAAGGGGAGATGGTGGCAATGACCAATGCCCAGTCTCTGTTGCCTGACAAGAGCCTGGATATGCGTCAACTTGTCTACGTAAGAGTACATAGACACATAAGCTGCAAACAAATGTTAGTAGTGCTGGATTGGTTTTGGACTGTAGTTCAGTACTCTGTGAAAGGTGGAGTTTAAATCCACTGCTGTTGAGAAACAATCTACCTAATCCATTTTTGAACAGCGTACGTTTCCTCCCTAGAGATGAGCCATAAAAAGTTAGGGTGAAGAAGGGTGTGGGACAATTTCCCATATTTCAAATAAAGAAGAGGGCTCCCCAAAGTGGCCAACTTGATAAGTACATAAAGTATAAGCAGGCCCAAAAAAACAAAAGAATAATTTTAACGTGCCACAAAATGTCCAGTCAGCTACAGTTGTTTCTGTAGCAAATACCCTCAGTACCAAACAGAGGAACCATAACCCAGGAGAAGCCTGATAGGTACTTACAACAGTGGGTTGCAGAGGCAGGAAAATTGACTCAACTCTGGACCGACAACTCCATAAAGAATTTCCAGACATAATGATCTGACCTGAATTGCAGAGTCCTGTGTGAACTGGAACACTGATGAATAAGTCCCTTCCGATCGTAGGACTGTCACAGAAAATGGGCACCTGCACTGCTTGACTAACTGGAGAGCTTTCAAGGATTTCCAGTTTCCTGAATCTACTAGTAGCTGTAGAAGACTGGACAAACTTCCAGAAATTCAGTACTATTGCAGAGAAAAAAACAGTATAACCTGGGAAGACCTGCACGCTTTGGCTGACTGGAGAGACTTTTAGAATTGAACATATCCAGCATGATAAGGGACTAATTACTTTTATGTGGCTCACAGGAAAAAAATCAAGGTGCAATTACACTTTGGAAAAACTTCTTATAAATATTAGTAAATTGTTAAGCCCAACCCCAGCCCAATAATTCTATCACAGATATAAAATTACAGTTTAAAAAGCTTAACAAGTTAAAAAAATATTTATCTAA